GTGCTTTAGACCACTGAGCCATCTCTCCAGCCCCAGTCACAGCCATTTTGATGCTAAATACGCAAGAGAAACTAAAAGCATGTATCAACAGAAAACCGACACAGAAATATTCATAGCAGCTTTATCTGTGATAGCCATGAACTGGAAAATACGCCAAGTATTTACTGATAGATGAATAAATAAATAAATTGTGGTATATCCAAACAATACAATATTACTTAACAATAAAATAAAATAAACTACTGATATTCATAGCTATATGTTAATTATGCTGAGTTAAGAGGCCAGATGAAAAAATACATACTGTATGATTTCACTTATTAAATTCCTAGAAATATCCCAACATCTAATCTATAATGACTGCAGTCAGATTAATGGTTGGTTGCTTGGATCAGTGGAAGAATGATGGAATTTTGGAGGGTGATAAATATGTTCATTTCCTTGACTGCAACAATGTTGTCTTGGGTGCACACATGCATACAGCTGACTACACATCAAATATGCCACAGTAAAAGTATTTCAACAACAACAAAGAGACAATGGAGCAATTCCCATGAAACTCAAGAAAGTAGTTATGCTGAGGCAAAAAAATATCCAACAATGAGGAAGCAAGTGCTCAAATCTGGAAGATACACGTTTCTTCAAAAGCACTGGTAACATAATTAAGAAATGTGAAGAATTCCTAAGAGTGTGTTTTATATTATGTCATATAATGGCAATATGTATTATATATACATTATCAATATTAAATATACAGTACAGTAATTCTATAATTTAACACTGTAAAAAATAACTTACTAATCATTGTTCTGTTTACCTGTCTTTAGGACTGTTTTCATCTCACTCAGCATTTTCACTTTCACTTTAGCACTGATTAAGAATTTAGGGTTTGGAAGCAGGTGGGGCGTACTAATGCTGGATTTGACACTGCTTGGCTGTATAATGGTGGACAATTATTTAACCTCGCCAAGCTTCAGTTAAAAAATAAGAGTAAAAGCATTTCTCTCAAAGATTAATGTGTACTAAATGAGAAATTCATATAAAACAGCATATAACACATAATTAATTGGCTCCTTGTTCTTTCTCTGCAAGCACCATATTTATCATCTTCTCTAATTCTTTTCAAATTTATCTTTCACGGCAATTTTCTGTTCCTTCCCCATTCTAGGGATCAAACCCAGGGCTTCACACATGCCACTAAACTACATTTTCAATCTTTTTTGATTCTTTAAATTTTTGAAACAGGGTCTCGCTAAATTGCCTAGGCTGGCCTTTATTCTGCCTCAGCCTCCCTAGTAGCTGGGATTGCAGGCATGCACTACTACATCTGGATCAGGTAGTTCTTTAAATCACAGTGTTTCACAAGATTACATATTCATGCATAAGATGTAGGTAGAAAGATGTATCAAAATGAATAATGGATCGCTGGACAGAAAAAAAAAATGGGTGAGCAATCAATAATGATTTTTTCCTCATTTTTTAGCACCAGAGTGAAACAAAACTCTAAAGTCATCAAGATTGTATATACTGCAAATTAATTATTGGTAAATTTACTATGGTTTTTCTCCCTTTCCCAGATTTGGGGCTTTTAGAGAGCAGGGTCAAATAAAATTATAGAAGGCCATTGTATAAATAAACTAGGATCCTATGCCAGCCTCAGCAGAAGAGATGAAAAATGAAAATGTAGTAACTCTAAAGTTCCACATCACCAAACTGAAAATGAGGTGTTATCTGACAGCCCCAGAAATCAGGAGAAAAAAAGAGAACATTTCAAAATAGGATAATTTCAGCTAATGCCATCAGTGAAGTTCCCATGCCTTAATCCTTACGTAAGTAACCTGATGTTAACTAGTTATTTTCTGCTGTTGTCTCCACTTTATGGGAAATTTATTTATTTATTTATTTATTTTAAGACAGGTAGTTCAGGCTACCATTAACTCACCATGTAGCCCAAGCAGGCGTTGAGCTTGTGGCAACCCAAGCTCAGTTTCCTGAGTGCTGGGATTACTGCTGCACAGCACCACACCTGGACTGAAATGTAACTTTGAAATGACTAGCCCGCTAGTATCTTTTGCTTCCTTTACTTTCTCTCTGTATAAAACCAACCCCTGGCCAGGGGTGGTGGTGCAGAACCATAATCAAAGCATTCAGGAGGCTGAGGCAGGAAGATCACTGCCAAATTGGAGGCCATCCTGGGCTACAAAAAGTGAGTTTAAGGCCAGCTTGAACTACAATGAAACCCTGTCTCAAAAACAAAAACACCCAAACCCTTCTGCTCAGCTCATGTGAACACACTACTTTATGGAATGGAATGTTGCCCAACTGCAGTATCACAAGTAAAACTAATTAATAAGACCCTTAAATTTATAGTATATGTCTTTTATCAAGTGTAATGTTTTATAAACAACACAGTTTTTTACAGCCCTGAAAATTGTAAAGTCCAAGATCAAGGTACCAGCAGATTTACTGTTTGGTGAGGACCCTTCTCCTCACAGATGGCTCCTTCCTATTTGTTT